AGGGCTAAACAGGACTAAACCAGGACTAAACCAGAACAAAACTAGGGCTAAACAAGGACTAAACAAGGACTTAACCAGAACGAAACCCGGGCTAAACCAGGACGAGACTAGGACTAACCAGGGCTAAATCATGACTAAACCATGGCTAAACCAGAGCTAAACCAGGACTAAACTAGCACTAAACCAGGACTAAATGACCCAGATCTAAACCAGGTTTAAACCAGGACCAAACCAGGATGAAACCAGGACCAAACCAAGACTAAATGACCCAAGTCTATACCAGGTTTAAACCAGGATAAAACCAGGACTAAACCAGGTTTAAACCAGGACGAAACCAGGATGAAACCAGGACTAAACCAGGACTAAATGACCCGGGTCTAAACTAAGCTTAAACCAGGTCTAAACCAGGACTAAAACTGGGTTAATCCAAGGCTAAACCAGAGTTAAACCAGGACTAAACTAGCACTAAACCAGGACTAAATGACCCAGGTATAAACCATGATTAAATCAGGTCTAAACCAGGTCTAAACCAGGTTTAAACTAGGTTTAAACCAGGACTAGATCAGGACTAGATCAGACTAGATCAGACTAAACCAGGACTAAACCAGGTCTAAATTTTCAACATCCCATGTTGTGTGTTAGAGACTGAACTACATAAAGAGAAAAAATCCACTATATTCTTTTAGATCTGCAGCACTGCCACAAAACCTCATATGTATTTTGTGCATATCTTTTTCTCATCAGTGCAATACTAGAGAAATACAAGGATATCTGAATAATAAACAAATCATTAAGCACAGCCGCAAACAGACAATGACTAATGTGTCTTTATCAGGAGTCCAAACTAAACAGAATGAGCTGTAGAATAAACAGAGGTCACATGACACCAGCACAGAACATTTACTTCCTGTATGACATCACCGCTGAGTGTGTAATATTTACTGTAGTCATCATGTGGTGCTAGAAACACAGTAACCAAACCCTGCCACTGTTTACTGTCACACCTGTCGCACCTGTTGCACCTGCCCACACAAGGCCAAATGAGAATGCAGTAGAGTTAAAGGTTCTGTAAATTATTTTTTACAGTGTTAAAAATGTGAAAACAGATCTAGCTGTGTAATGTAAACAGTTTGCAGTGGTCCAAACTTATTCCTGACTTTGCATTTCAAACATCCTGCATATGCATTATTCACTACAATGAGTTTATAAGTGCTTTTCACGACTTTCAGTTTCAGACCATAGCGGACTTTTGTTTTGACAGGAACTAACATGCTAATCTCACACTTCCTGATCATTGGACAATAAAAACCTATTCTGACCAACAGCTGCTTATACAATATATCTGTATTGAGGGCAAGAGAAATTTTGCTCAAATACATGGGAAAAAAATTGTGTGCAGTTTTAATGGACGATAAAACAGTGTAAAGACAATGCAACAGGATATGATAAGAATTGATTTTATAGCCTAATAAAGCACTGAGATGCCTGTGTGAATATGAGCCGAATTAAATGAAATTCTAATTAAAATTGCCGAACTAAATAAAATTCTAATAAAAATTGCTGAATGAATAAAATTCTAATTAAAATTGTCGAATGAATTAAATTCTAATTAAAATTGTCGAATGAATTAAATTCTAATTAAAATTGCTATCTGAAACGTTAATGCAACTATCAAATAAAAAGGCAGACAAGATAGAGAGAGATCAGTCTGGTCCCCACTCCACCTCTAAGCCAGGACCAATTATGACTGTCCAATCAAATCCTTTCTTTTTTCCTTATTAAGCAGACGTATTAGTTTTGAAACAGACAGACCACACGTGTCCTTGATTAGCAAATCCACCTGTCAGTCACGCCCATCTGAACTCACATTCATCAGACTCACATCTTCAGAAAGTATTAAAGATGTGCGTATTCTGGATCTCACCTCTCAAGGTCAAAATTCCACTTTGTGATGTCATGTGGTAATACAGGAAGTGCTCCATTGTGTTTTTAAACTCTATTCACCTTCACTAGAATCATTTGGATTTCAGCCCTGGAGTTGCCAGTCTCTGTTGAACAAAGGGGTAAAACATAGCTGTGAACTTAAAAACTACCACTTCATGACATCACAAGGTGTGTTGTAGATGTTTTCAGGTTGTCCAAGAAAGGGTGGAAGTAAAAGACTGGAGACCAACTGGATGTCTTAAGCAGGAGAAGTTTATTTACCATCAATAATACAGGCCCGGGGGGACTTGGAAAGTTAACACAGTATGATTTCAAAAGTCCCCCCGGGCCTGTATTATTGATGGTAAATAAACTTCTGCTTAAGACATCCAGTTGGTCTCCAGCCTTTTACCTCCACTCTTTTTTGGACAAGCTGAAAACGTCTACAACAAGGAGGAAAAGAGCATTTTGATCTTTGAAAATGTAGACAGACTAATAACAAAGGATTACTCAAACACGTGTGAATGAAACAAAACACAGCTCCAGGTATGTTTCTGATGAGGTAACACCATTCTAACATGGCTTAAAGCTCACAAGAGTCAATTTTGCGTAGTAAAGGACCGTTAAAATGAACTAGTCGTGTTTTTTTATGACACTAAAATTCAGTTTACAGAAATATACAAACACAGAAGGTTATATTAACATTTTCACACGGTGCATGTTACAGCTACTACCACTTATCACAACTTCCCAATCCTGCAATCCAAATAAATCAGCCGATAAGAAACAGGTTAACATTTAAAAGTCCTGTATTACACAAAGTTGACTCTTGTGAGCTTTTAGCCATGTTATAATGTTAATACATACCTAATGAAAAACATATCCAGAGTTGTGTTTTGTTTCATTCACACATTTTATTATTTTTTATTATTAGTCGTACATTACGACATACGTTTCCAAGCTCAAAATGCTCCCTTCCACCTTGTGATGTCATGTAGTGGTAATTGTGTGTGTGTGTGTGTTAAACTTGTGTGAATGAAACAAAACTCCAGGTCTGTTTTTGACATATATGTCTGAAAATAGTATAATAAGTGTCCTTTAAAATACCCTTAGACTACAGACTGTGGTACTGTGGTATAAAGTGAGCACAGTATTAAAAACTGCTCTAGGTTTTTGATGGACACTTTTAGAATGCAAATAGCCACTAAGCATTAAAATACAGTTACATAACCACTGTTGTATAAGCAAAATTCACCACTGGCCTTCTGCTGCTCTGTTCAAATTAATGTCTCCTCAGCAGTTGATCGATAAAGTTCCTCCAATATAATATGGGTTATAGGAGTACAAAGAGTTAATAATACAAGAGAAGTTATGACATAATTTGCATAAAGGGGAGTACCTGTTAAGGGTTGTGTCTAATACTTCCTATATATAATAACGGAGAGCACTAGTGAACTGAAAAAAAATGCAAAATAGTGGTTAGAGTGGCCAAAAATTGTTCTTTACTGTAACAGTAAAATAATATTACTCAAGAAGAAGTCCAAAGTAGTGGTCTAAGTAAGAGTAAACAAGTATTTGGCGAAACTCCTCAAGTAAGAGTAACTTAAAGAGTAACTGTAGGAAAATCTGATTTATAATTTGAAGTTAATGTAATTGGAAGGACAAAACATTAAATAATATACAAAATCTGGTATTTTCAAAGGACAGACACAAAAATAAGAAAAAGTAATCAGATTTAAAGGAGTGGTTCAAGAAACACAAAGGTTCAAATTATTTCACATTGTCAACATTGTTTTGTCCCTTGTAGACTTACAAAAACATGTAAATAACATGCCAGGTATGTTATAGGTTAGAAATGAGACAGTGAAAAAAGTTACCAAATAATAGATGGATGCTGAAAAAAACTGTTCCTAAAAGTAAGTGCAATATTTAACTTGCAAATGGAAAGTTTTAAAAAGTGACAGAGGTTATTAGTAAAGCCTAAAACTCTTATTAATATTATGAGACATTTTAACTGCATGGTTTTAAAGGTGCAGTATGTAACTTTCTGGAAGTGGCAGGTCACCATGACTCAATGGGAATAAAAACGAAACATTACTTTGGAACAACATTAGGCCACACTCTGGAATATTATCACCAAATGAACAACACTTCCTTGGAAATGTGGAGGATGAGGCACTCCTGCTGTGAACTTGCTTCTTTCCCTGGAACTTAAACTTACTTGCCTGGAAACCCTTGGCTGGTATCTCCCTGTTTTCTTCTACAGATTTATATCAGTCTGGTCATCACATCCTCTGTTATGTCTGAAGCCCAGGCAAACATGATCATCCAGTCAGATGTTTTTTTTTCAGTGTCACAAGTGAAACGAAGAAGCTCATTAGTCACACATCATTTACAAATAAAATCAAACTTCTCCCATCGCAAATTAAGTTTAGTGTGTCACTCTTTGATTCTACAGAAAACCCTAATGTATGTTTTTCTTTTTGTTTTTCTGATACAGACAGACCAAGTGTGACCTCAATTGGCTAATCCACCTGTCAATCATGCCCACTGAAAACAAGGAGATTCACATTTTTGCAACATATTGGAAAAAGTGTGTATTCTGGAAGCCAGGTAATAAAAGTGCTTATATTTAATGGATTGGTTATTTTTATTGATTGAAAAACCTGGATTCTTCTTGAGCATGACCTCTTCACAGATCTCACCTGTAACTTGGCCTGGTGACATTAACTGCTTGTCTCCATGGAAACGCATACCAATGTTTTAACACCGCACTGTGGAACACTCCAGACAAATCAATGACATCTCCATGGAGGCGAGCATGAGACACTATCAGAAAAGTTACATAGTGCATCTTTAAACAGGTAAAGTCACTTACAATGTTTCTAAATGAACTTTTTGAGACATTTTGACAGCTGTTACATTCAGATCTGTTTTTTTTTTTAATCAGTAACTAACCTACATTTGCTCACCATAAGCTTTCATTGTCACATGGGCTTCAGTTCAACCAAAACGCTACTGTCATTATTTATCCTCTGTCCTCTTCTTTGCTTTAGTACATGTATTGAATCTCTCACCTTGACAGTACAGCAGCTGCGTTCAAATCCTGCGTCTACTCCTCCTCCTCCTCCTCGCAGAATGGAGTGATGAAGGCTCCACGCTGCACCTCTCCTCTTCTCCTCCTCTGTCTCTCCCTCTCTACTTCCTCCAGCTCCGCAGCAGTCTCCCAGGTGACTCGGACTCACAATGACATCATCTCTGTTTGCACGGACACCTGTTTCCTCCGGTAGCTCCTCCCACCGAGCAGACAGGCCCCGCTCACACCCCCCTGCGCTCACTTCCCGGTTGTCTTAAAGGGGAAGCTCCGTCTGTCAGCGCAGGAGCAAAACAGTGGGAGGGAAGTCTGGCTGTAACAAAAGAAGAGGAGAATGTGTGGTTAAGTTGTTGATGTGCAAATTGTTTTTAATAGAATAGGGGGACAAAGACCAAAATAAAGCTAGACAGACAAACAGATTAAAATGACAAGATCACAAATACTTAAATAGCACACAGAAGCATCCAAACAGCAAACAGAAAGCACACAAAAACAGACAATGATGCAAACAATTCAATCAATTATAATAAATAAATTCAGATTCAGATTCAGAAAACTTTACTGATCCCATAAGGCAATTCATTAGCAGCATCTCAGAGCACACCCAAACACAAACAAACACAAAGTGTGTCAGTCCATTGCCGTCCACCAGTGGAACTCAAAATAAAATACAAATTACAGTGTAAAACTTTCATAAAACTGTACCGTTAGAATTTAACAATTTAATAGCACAGGGCACAAAAGGATTAGAAAAGCGGTTGGTTTTCCATATCGGAGTATAAAACCGACACCCTGAAGGCATGAGGATAAAATCAGGAGCCAGGGGATGGAGGGGCTGAGCCAGGAGACCCTTGGCTTTGCTCAGCACCTGCTCCTCCCACACAGAGTGCAGGTCCCTCAGTTTGATCCCTGTGATTTTCGAGTAGGTTAAATAAAAAGAAATTGAATAAAAAGAAATACGGAATAAAATCAAGCTAAATAGTTCCTTTATATGCTCCAAAAGGAAGCCGTGTAGCAAACTGGCTATGTTATGTCGCCCGTCATTGGAGGGAGGTTTAGATATGGCAGATATAAGGAATTACCAACTTAGTGCTCATTTGTGTGTTATAACAGAATGGGTGCAATAGACCAACCTCACTTTGGATGGGCATAGAAAGTTCTAACTCTGGTTGTCCCTTGACAGCGTTATTATTTCTTAAAAAAATGAAGTCTCTAAGGTCTGCCTGCGCTAATCCTGTCACTATTACCACAGCCATGGCATGGTGGTCATTAAGAAAATTAGAGGTGAGGCAAAATATTACTTCTGTTTTCACCCCTGTGTAATAATCCTGTGTTTTTACCTGGGATAATCGACAATAGGTTTCAGATTTGGGTACAATATGATATTCCAACAAGTAATAAAGTGTCGTGAGTATACCACATGCAATTATTAAATGCTGAAATTATATATTTGTTTAAAATGTTGTTAATGAAGTCACGCAATTAATGCTTAACCACTGGAATCTGATATATATGTTTACAGATACTGTTGTGTAAGTTGTGTCTTTAGGTGGTGTCTTTTTAAGGAAATTCTGTACAGAGCAGCTGACAAGGGGACATCCTGGCTGGCACCAAACGGAGAAGCTTCAGGGAGGATTCAAGGAGTGAACCTGATCAACATATCATTTGCATATTCATAACTGATGTTATACATTTTTGTGTGAAGGTGGTTCCTACCACCTGATTATAAGTCCCGTGTAAGCTGCAGGCCATCAGGGACAGTGATTTGTATTAGAAATGTATTGGATAGGGAATAAATTTTTGTGATTTCAATCGATTGATTCCAGTCTTTATTTTTCTGATAGAACACACTAACACAACCAAAACCATCCTGTCAGGATTCAGAAAGGCCAGAATAATTCTAACTGGAAGTGATGCTGAGTCTGACAACAGCTACACAAAAGAGGAAGCAGTGCTCTGTTTACCTCATGGATCTATGGTTTATCTCCGGAGGTTGCGTAGAAGTAACACTGAGGATGAAGAATTCAATGGATTTAGTGATTTGGAGTGAGATGGTGAGTTTGGTAAACTTATGTTATGTTGTTGCTATAATTATCTGAATAACACTTACTATGTTATGTTAACATATTGACGCCTATTCAGTCTGTTGTTCTCTATTCTATTATTGTTACTATAACTTGCCTTTCAATATGAAATATCAGTTCCTGGTCTCTGATTTTATAAAATACATTTCCACCAGTGGTGGGGCGACAAGGCCTTCAAGGCCTTCTCTGCTGGCCTAAAAAATATCTGAATCACAGACTGATGTTAATTATACTATTATTAAATCATTCCAAATGGTCCGTATGCTTCCTTCAAGAGCTTTTCCGATGGTTGTGCTGCTTCCACACATGCATTTTCATATTAAAGCATTTGACCAATCACATTTCAGCCGTCACTTGTTGACAGGCAGAGTCAAGGCCTTCACAATCCGTTCTGCAGGCCCTCGAACACAAAGTAAATTGTGTCCACCCAGGCCCCTCCACCTCCGACCCAGGCACCACCACCTCCACCTCCATATGGCCTGTAACGTGCCATTTCAAATCCAATCAAATGTGTATTTTACTGAAAGTCTTTGTAAACAGTCTCTTTGGAGACTGTTTTGAATGATTGTATCTTGAGATGTGGGTTTGTTCACTAACTCACCATTCAGTGGGACACTCCCTACTTCTCCTTTTTTTTTTTTTTTTTTAATAGTCTTATGTGTTAAAAAATATATAATGAAACATGTACTTCAACATGGAACAGTCAGTGAACGCACTCCCATCTCTGCATCTCAATTCTTGACAGTACAATTTTTTACAGTACTGTTAAGAATTGCAACTGCAGAGATGGGAGTGCATTCACCGACTCGCCAGGGAACAGTCCCTGCTTCTCCTCTCTAGGTTTAGGTGTTTTACTGTAAGTCATTTGACTCTAATAATAATAAACAAACATGAGGTAAGAAATAATTCCATAGTATCTTATTTTGAATGTGCACACGCCTTAACTCTCTTTCTGTTTCTGTTTCTGTTCCCATGGTGACTGGTTTGGAGGGGCCACCTGAGCTCTGTGGTCCTGAGATCTAATGAAGCTGATGAGAAAAAAAACGTGTCTCCAGAAGATGACGAACAGGAGCTGATCAGAAGTGATGTGATGAAGCTGACGAGAAGAACCATGTCTCTATAAGATGAAGGACAACAGCGGATCGGAAGTGATTTGATGAAGCTGACCAGAAGAACTGTATCTCCAGAAGACAGGGGCAGACTGGGACCAAAAAACGGCCCTGGAATTTTCCCCCACAACTCGACCCACAGTGGAAATTGAGGACCAGTCCATGAGCGGACGGCCATTCTGGGCTTTTCCAGAATACACAGATTGCCAGTCCACTGCTGCCAGAAGATGAAGAACATGAGCTGATCAGAAATTATTTGATGAAGCTGATGAGAAGAACCATGTCTCAAGAAGATGAAGGACAAGAGCAGATCTGAAGTGATTTGATGAAGCTGACGAGAAGAACCGTGTTTCCAGAAGATGAAGGACAAGAGCTGATCAGAAGTGACGTGATGAAACTGACGAGAAGAAGCAAGTGTCCAGAAAATGAAGGACAAGAGCACATCTGAAGTGATTTGATGAAGATGACCAGAAGAACTGTGTCTCCAGAAGACAGGGGCAGATTGGGACTAAAAAAAGGCCCTGGAATTTTCCCCTACAAATCGACCCACAGTGAAAATTGAGGACCGGTCCATGAGCGGACGGCTGTTCTGGGCATTCTCAGAATAATTGCCAGTCCGCTGCTGCCAGAAGATGAAGAACATGAGCTGATCAGAAATTATTTGATGAAGCTGACAAGAAGAATCATGTCTTTCAGAAGATGACGAACCAGAGATGGAGCTGATCAGAAGACCACCCTGAAAGAATGTACGGAAATTAGTCAATAAACAGAAGGTTGATTTGGAATTCTTATTTTTTTGTACTTTAAAAATATATATTTTTTAAATAAGAACATGTACATTGTATTGTTTATTACAATTTACTTAAAGAGGCATTAACTTTTCTGATTGGAGTCCGCTACTTGCTTGTCTCCATGGAGATGCTATTCTTTTAACTGGAAAGTTATACAGTATATCACTACATTTATCTTTGTAACCTATTATAAGTTATAGCTGTTTTAAGTGTATGCATAACATTATTAATGTGAGGAAGGAAGGAAAGGGCTTTTACCAATATCTACAGGTGAGGGATTTTGTTAGGAAAGACACTGCACATCTAGTGTTTAGAGAGATATCGGACACGGAAAGACAGATCTTCCTCCCAAAATCAACTGCTTCCATTAAAATATTTTACAAAATCCTTAAGGGGTATTCTACTATAGACACGTCTCACCTGAATGGACTCTGGCAGAGTGGACTTAACTGTACATTTACTGATGATGAGTGGGAAAATGTTTGGAGTAATGCGAAAACACTCAGCTTATGATTCTCCGCAGAGTTCAAATCTCCCCTTATCAATGTAATATATTTAAACCTAGCTCTTCACCTTTGTGTTTGAAGTGCAAGAGCGAGACTGGTACCCTTACACACTGTTTCTGGTCTTGTCCAAAAGTGCAACAATTGTGGCAAATGAGTGGACAAGAAATCCAAAACATTCTGTCTGTAAATTTGACTAATAATCCTTTATTTCTATTGCTTGGTGTAAGTGATCCCATTGTGAAGGACAAGTATAATACAAAATTGTACTTTTTGTGCTAGAAAAAGTCTACTAGTGAACTGGGTATATGACCAGACCCCCTTTAAAACTCAATGGCAGAAGATGTTTCTTGGTTTTGTTTCTGTCAATTACCTGACATGCCGGCTTCATCATAAGGACAATATTTTTAAGAAACCTTTTTTGATGTATACTGGACTTGAGATTTCAGCTATTATGAATAGGGTATTTACATTCTGAAATGGGTGTATCTGTTTCTAATATATGAATGGGAAAATATTTGTTTTGTTTTGTTTGTATTGAGTATTTAGTTTAAGCTAAAATCAATAAATATATATGCAAAAAAAAAATCAAGCTAAAACCAGCTAAAGCGAGGCCAACTGATAAAAATGCGTTTTATGAAGTGATGT